CGGGCATCACCTGTCCCTGCACCCACATAAAACCAGTTGGAGAGCCTGTGGGACCTATGCCCTCTGGAAGGATCCCAGACGCCCACTCCACCTGGCACGGCAGAAATCACCAACCAGGAGTCAGAGGACAAAGTCCTATCACACAGGAGAGGAAGTGAGGTAAGTCTGCAAAGACTGGGCAGAAAGAAAGGTCCAGTGTGCATGGAAGCCCCACTCGGAGCTGATCTGCCATGGATGCCCTGGTTCGACTCCTGCAGCTGCTGTTACTGCTCCTGACCCTCCCTCTGCACCTGTTGGTCTTGCTGGGCTTCTGGCAGCCCCTGTGCAAAACCTTCTTCCCCTACCTGATGGCCGTGCTGACTGCCAAGAGCAACCAAAAAATGAAGGAGAAGAAGCAGGAACTCTTCGGCCAGATCAAGGTCCTTGCGGAGGCCTCTGGGGATGTGTCCCTGCTGGAGCTGGGCTGTGGCACCGGGGCCAACTTCCAGTTCTACCCACCCGGCTGCCGGATCACCTGCCTCGACCCAAATCCCCACTTTGAGAAGTTCCTGGCGAAGAGCATGTCTGAGAATGAGCACCTCAAATATGAGCAGTTCGTGGAGGCTCCCGGAGAGGACATGAGACAACTGGCTGATGGTTCCATGGATGCGGTGGTCTGCACCCTGGTGCTGTGTTCTGTGCAGAGTCCAAAGAAGGTCCTGCAGGAGGTCCAGAGAGTGCTGCGGCCGGTGAGCAGACGGGCAGGGTTTGGGCCTGGGGCAGTCAAGGACAGTATCGGCCGTGCCCCTTTTCAGGGCATGCCAGGGCACGGGGTTGATTCTAACTCGTGGGCAGACTTCTCAGAGCATCAGGCATCTCATTGGAAGTGCCTCTGAGTACATTCAAACCAGCAATCCTTAGGTTAACAGCAAGCCCCTTCGCTCCTTGCATCCCCTACGAACGCTTCAGGGCACCGAACTCAAACCCAAGCCATTGTCAGGAAGTCAGTGCCAACCCCTGGCACCCAAGTGTGTTGTTGCAAAATAGAACTGCTCCCTTGGGATTTTCTTGGCTGTGGTCTTTGCAGAAGCAGTTAGTCCGGCTCTTCTTTCTTGGAGCCAATTCGTGGGCCTGAGCTGTCAATCTTGAGGTTAACAGCCAATTGGGAAACAGCTTAGCACCTTAGACACCTCACCCCACTGCCATCTGCTGGTGAACGGGAACTACGGCAAGTGTCGGCTGGGGTGGGGGGTGCTGGGGGATGCAAAGAGAGTCCAATGAAAGTTTGAGTGGGAGGATAGAAGCCAGGGAGGGCAGCAGCTAGATAATTTGCTTGGCCATGCCTGGGGGGGGGTTTGGAGGAAGGGAGAGGCACGGAGCAGCTCAGCCCCACTAACGGTCTTCTCTCTCCCAGGGAGGAATCTTCTTTTTCTGGGAGCACGTGGCTGAGCCGCGTGGAAGCTGGGCCTTCATGTGGCAGCGAGTGGTGGAGCCCACCTGGAAGCACATTGCGGACGGCTGCTACCTCACCCGAGAGACCTGGAAGGATCTGGAGAGCTGCCAGTTCTCGAAGCTGCAAATAACGCGACAACCCCCTCCCTTCAAGTGGGCACCTATAGGGCCCCACATCATGGGAATGGCTGTAAAATAACCCTTCCCCAGGCCCCCAAGGTGGCCACTCACTCCATCCCATCCTCAGCCCCATCCGAACAATCGCACCCACTGGCCAAGTCTTAATGTGCAGATCGTGGCAGACAAAAGACCGCCCCCTAATTCCTCTCTCTCCCGCCTCTGCCAGTGGGAATCTCCAACTCACTTCCTCCTACAGTGAAAAAGCTCGACTCCCACGCTGTCTGGAGAGAGAGGGAAGGAGTGGGGACAGAGGTAGGGACCCTGTCTGATCCTTAACTGCCCATTTCTGGGCTGGGTCTACCAACATTTGCACACCTGCCTCCTGGGTCTGCCTTCCATCTCCCTTCTTTCATGGAACATGCCTCCCCTCCTTCAACCGTCACACCCATGCGCCTCTAGGAACTGGTCCCAAGAGGCACGCTATGTACACCCCAGCCAGGCCCCCTGACCCCTCCTCCCCACGAGTACCTGTGTCTGAGTCAAGGGGGTGTCAGAGAACCAGGCCTCTGCTGGACATCCAGGACGAAGGAGTGGGACTCAGAAAGAAGTCAAAGTCTTTTGTCCTCAAATGTTTTTTAATAAATAGGCAAAACCCACTGGACTGATGCAGCGAACTCGGGTCAAAAGAGATGGGGAAGTAGGTTGGGAGGAGCCCCTGAGTCAGCGACACATCCTCCTCCCCAGCCCTAAGGCACTTTGGGGGCAACAGGCTTGCGGGGTTCTATTAGACGAGGTGAATGGGAGAGAGATGAGTTAGGGTCTCACCTCCCCACCTTTGATTCAGGGCATACCTGCCCTTCTCACTCTCCCCCATGGCCCCTCCCTGATTTACCCCATCTCATAGCATAGCATTCCAGGGGTAGGTGGGGGTGGGGGTGGGGGAAATCCTAGTGGGGATGGGGAGAGGTCCACAGCCCTGAGGAAGCAGATCCTGCCAATTCCTGATGCGACACCAGCAACCCACTCTCCCCTCTTCATCCAAGGAGCCATCGCTAGGGAAGGGGTAGAGGGGACCCACGGGTCAGGATGGATGGGACAGAGGAAGTTAGGCCGTAGCTGGCACAGGATGCCCATCAGGGCCCTGCTCAGAGTGCCCATCTGCAGCCAGGATGGGGTGTGCATCGGGACCCTCCCGCCGAGGGCTGCCCCAGTTGTTCCTAAGGATGGTGCCTGTCTTCTCTTCCTTGAACTGCTGCCGGTCTTCCCGTGGGATCTTCACGGCATGGTACTGGGGCACTGTGGCTTCGGGGTACCGTGCCCGCTTGAAAAATCCCATCTGTAAAGATACAAGGCCAGATCATGAAAAGCCAACCAGGCTGATGCTCCCGGAGCAGATACACAGCACAACACAGCTCCTTGCCCTCATCATCGCCCTGGCTCAGCACGGACAGCCTGCAGCAGAAAGGGCACAAGCCAGAAGGCAGCCCCGCCATCCGTGCTAAGTGCCCGCTATCATTCACATTCCAAGACAGTGGGCAGGAAGGGCACAGGACCAAGGATGTCTCCCTTGGTACCTGAAAAGGGGAGTTGAAGGTTTCCACCCACCCAGTCTATTCAGAGACCCGATACTCCCTCAAAAGACATAGGAGATCGGAAGAAGGAAATTGCTTCCTGGAGCCTTCTGTCCTCTGGAATAATCCCTCTAAAACCTTTCTCTCACAAGCACACATACATACACATGCACATATACACAGAGTATACCTATACACTAGGCAGTATCCTCCCGAAGGCAGGACCCACTCATCCATGAGCACAGCAGTCTATTCATGTTCTAAGTCAGAAACATGCTGGTCCCTATATCCAAGGCGGAAATTGTCCCTAGCATAACTCACACTCACAAGACTGACTCTACATGCTCAGACTCCTGCACACCATCTCCTTGCACAGTTGTCTCTGCACACTCATGCCCATGGGAAAGACATACACGGGACCTCCCTGCACTCCCACATGCTCACACTCCATGGGCCCACCCAACCCTCTGTGCATGCCCAAGGCTGTGTATACGCACCCTTACAACCTGCATCCCCTACAATTCATTCCCGCCCACTCCCATTCCTGGGGCTTGCACCAGCTTCATGCAATATCATTTCTTTATTTTGTACATTCATGACCCCTTGAATGCTGGCAGCTCTACTTACACTTACACACACACACACACACACACATCTACCTGCCCACACCACATATTTGCACACGCAGACATATGCAAACACACACGTTACCCAACAGTCCCTGGGCCCCTGACTTCCATGGCTGAGGGCTGTATAGCCAGATGGGCCCGGTGATAGTTGGTGGGAAAGGATGAGCTCTGGCTGCTCCGGTGGAAGAAACCACACTGGGGCATTTGAGGAGAAGGGGGGCAAAGAGGCAGAGAATGGGAAGACTGAGGACAGGTAGGCCCTTGCCCGAGTCCACCATCCATGCGGGCAAGAAGAGATCCTGGGGGCTGTTCCATGAATGTATCCATCTCCCCTAAACTGTGAGGTTCTCAACAACTGGGGTACGACCCCAGAGGCCTGCTCCACTGATGACTCACAAAGGGGGTTCTTGCCCTGTGCGTGCTCCCAGGGAGTATGGGTTGATGCAGGAGGAGTCTCTATATGGGCTCCATAGCTCCACATGCAGCCCTGGATGAGATGTGTGTTCTGGGTATGAGCCATGATGATATAGAGCTCTGTGCCCTGACAGTGATGTAGGGTTGATGATGTAGCACTGACCCATGCATGTGTGAGCTTGCATGTTGGGCCCCGCATGTGAGTGTGATCCTATATGCAGTTCTGTTTATGAGGAAGTCCCACACAGAGCCCCGTCTATGGGGGTTCCAAGTTCAGCCCTCTGAAGAGCAGTTCTCTGGGGGTACTTCTCCACATTGGTTGGTCTCATCGACCTCAGCTCTTTTCCAAGCTACCTGCCTCAATCTCGTTCCATCAGACCACACTTCCCTACCTCAGGACGTTCCCTACCATGGTTTTTCTGGAAGGCTTAAGCCCCATCAACCTCATTTACACACATACAAATTCTACTATCCTATCTTCTTCCAATGGAGCCCAGGTGGTGTTGTGGTTACGTCTTGGGCTGCGATCCGAATGGTCGGTAGTTCAAAACCACCAACACCTCCTTGGGAGAAAGACTTGGCTTTCTACACCTGTAAACAATGACAGTCTCAGAAACCCACAGGGGTCACTGTGAGTCATCAATGACTCCAGAGAAACTCCCCTCAGTCCTCCCATCCTTTGAATTCCCACTACTCTGACTCAACTCTTAACACCTCTGACTATAAGCTCATCTCCCCCCCCAAAACCAAACTCACTGCCACAAGTCAATGCCAACTCATAGCGACCCTAAAGGGGGGCAAGACAGAACTGCCCTTGTGAGTTTCCAAGACTGTGACTCTTTACGGGAGTCAAAAGGCCTGCCTTGGTCCCATGGAGTGGTTTCAAACGGTTGGCCTTGAAGTTATCGGCTCAATGCATAATCACTATGCCCCCAGGGATCCTTTTGCCTCCCTTACTAGGTTGTCAAATCCCTGTGGACAAGATCTGCATTGATTTATCTTTGAAACTCCCACAACCAATTAGAGTTCCCGATATATTACTCAATAGTTACTTGTTGACTAAATGAGTGAGTGGGAAGGTAAGAAAATCTTCGTACACAACGCCACCTGCCTGACAGGGAAGTCCAGCCCCCACGGACCCACCCTCCCCAGGCCTCACCTTCCACATCAGCAGCACCAGCAAGGCCAGCACGAAGAGCCCAGCCAGCACAGCCAGGAGGATGACCCACCAAGGCACTCCTTCTGCCACCACAGCCACTGGGTCCAAATAGACCATCACTGGGATCTAGGGGGCAAAGGGTGAATGGAGCAAGAGAGGAGGAAGCAAGAGAGAGAAGAGCGCTCGCCCACTTCCCAAGGGAGGCCTGCAGCTCACCACTGTGGACGCGTCTCTGAGCAGCAAGTTCTTGATGGAGGACTTGACCGTGATGTTGGCTCTGACAATCACTTCCAGGGATTTCACAGCTGAGTATTCCTAAGTGACCAAGGAAGAAGACTCTCCTGCTAAGTGTCCTCATGCCCCCTCCCTCCCTTCCACCCAGCTGCTGAAATTGTCAGTGGAATGGTGTCTACTACAAAGGGCGCATCTGCCCCCCACCTGGGTTAAGGATGTGCTGCATTTACACAGCAGGGAAGTGGTGAGTCCCCGAGGGGCTCATGGAAAAGGAAGCCCAACCTGGGCCCTCAGCAAAGTCCTCACCTCCAGGAAGGTGCTGTTCCAGAGGCGGCCCCAGACGTGCAGTACGGCTGAGCGGTCAAAGCTGTAGAGCGGGCAGCTGAAGAGCACACAGTTAGCCGTGCCCCGGGCACAGTCCTGAAGACCAAGACAAGCAGGGGTCTGAGTCACTTGACCCCACACACTGAACCTGCCCCAGAGACATGCTCCCCTAGACCAAGAGTCAACCTGGAGCCTTCATGCCATCCTTCTGTGAACGCCCTCACCTGGAGCCCCCTTTGCTCTGTACTCATATTTCTTCCACTTTCCTTGCCTGGCTTTAAACTCCCCTCCACCTTACCTGCTTCAGACTTCCCGAATTAACCCTTTGGTCTCCCTAAATAATCCAAAATTGGGGTCTCCCCCAAATCTGGTCTATTTGGCTTTGAAAGAGATTGGGGGAGAGGGGGCTCTCCTTCCTGTACAGCAGCAGATTGCATAGCTTCCCTAATTGAGGCCTGTGTGGTATCTAATGATGGTCTCATTTATTGAACACCTACTATCTGCCAAGTATTTATCATCCTGGAGCCTCACAACAGTCTTGTAAGGTGCGTATTATGAACAGTTGCCATCAAGTTGATTCTGACAACCCCATGTGTGTCGGAGAGGAACCGTGCTCCACAAGGTTTTCAGAGGCTGATTTTTCAGAAGCAGATCACCAGGCCTTTCTTCCAAGGCACCTCTGTGAACTCGACCCTTCAGCCTTTTGATTAGCAACTGAGCACATTACAGTACCCACCATGCAGGGACTGTGCAGTATTACCATGCCCATATTTCAAGTGAGGAAATTCAGAGACAGGTAACCTGCCTGAGGTCACACCTTAGCAAAGCTGGCCGTGAGGAGGAGATGTGTAAAGACAGGCGCATATTCAGCAAAGCCACCCTCCTGCCCAAGGCCTACACTTCCTGGAGGAGGGGGAGCTGCTGGGGGACAAGGCACTCAGGCTCTGGGGTTCCCGGGCCTGCCCACCAGCCACTCGGCCCAATGGCTGCCTAATGACCATTTGCCCATTCACCTGAAAGTCCTATTTCTCTCACTTTACCATTAGCCACATGCAGAATTGTGCTTTGAGGCTGTTCAGATTCCTTGAGACACTTATTTTCCCACTTCCAACAACTCAAGAGTCAATGTGTCTACAAACGAGACCTTCTGCCTTTATTTTAGGGGTGGGGGTGGAAATCCATTTCAAACTTCTCACTAGAAGAGTTCCCCTTTCAGAGGAAGTCAGTCATATGGGAAAGGCAGGATTATCCATGTGATAGGGAACAATTACAGGAGTTCACACTAATCAAGAGGCCCCTTAGTGTTGTGGACTGAATTGTGCCCCTCCAAGAGGTATGCTGAAGACCTAACTTCTGGTACCTAAGAACATGACTGTGATGGTTAGGCTGTGTGCCAACTTGGGACACCTGTGGGAAGGTATGGATGGAGCCCAACCTCTCAATCAGAACACAGCCTAATGACATCCCCGTGGAGAGGTGTGGCCTATTTATGAGATGCTATGGAGAACTGGCCTCTCTCTTGCCCTACTCCTTCCTGTTTGCTTGCATCCTGCATCTGACTTCTGGGGCCTGTGGTCCATGTGGCCTGCCAACCCTGGGAACTATTGGTACCCTGCCACATGCCTGCTGACTTTGGATCTACATAATTCTGCACCTACCAACCTGTGATCTCCCAGCTTCCTACCTCATCAAACTGGCAGGGTGTGGTAGTTACATAATCTGGTGTCAATTTGGGACTTGAGAGGATTAAGAGTGAAGGGGTGGAGTCTAGTCTGTCAA